GCTGGTCTCTGACCGGTCAGTCTGGCATAATAGAAAGCACCCTTAATTTCGCTCACGCTGATCTCATGCACTTTAATTCAAATACCTTGGGAACCAGAACTTTTTGTCACAATTGCAAATGGAAAATGTAAGAGGAAAGCTAACCTGCAAACACAGACAGATTTCTGTCAACGTTCAAATAGGTTCGAGTCGACTCGAGGGAGGCCCGGCTTCCACCTTGAAAACCTCAGCTTGGGTGCGCAAGTCTACTACTGGACTTTTATCACATGCCAAAGTGACGTCTGTGAATTACCGTTGCTAATCGTGTTCCATTGTCCTGCCGTTCGCGGCATTGTCCTGCCGTTCACGTTGAAAACTTCTCCTAAATTATACTAAGGAGTCAAAATTCGGTGACACCGGTTCGTGTTGTTCAATTGCCATTTCCGATTATTTGAAAACGTTAAAATTACGAAATGCCGTAAAGTAGATGCCTGCCGTAATGCAGGCTATGAAAGCGTCTGATACAGTAAACTATATAGCCTGGCCGACCTCTCCAACCTCCGTTTCAAAATGAGTATTAATGATTATCTTTCACCAAGAGGCCAGTGGTGCACCTCGCTTGTTCAGTTTTGTTTATTTTTACTTGGATGTTTCTGTACTTTCACTTCGTTTCGTTTTGAAACAGAGGCAAATCAAAAACGGCCTAACACAAGTCAGGAACGGATGAGGGGATGTGTTTTGAACAGTGAAGAGGGTCCGAAAAAGTAATTTGTAACGCCCTTACATGTACACGGATAGGAGCGCAGAGGAAATGTACAGTATGAATACAGACTCGAGAGGTATAGCTGGGACGGCGGAAATGTACAGTGAGAGTGACTGACTAACCCAGTGGAGGATGGAGGCTAGCTAGAGTGTAAATGATACAGTCAACCGTGACACAGCTTAGAAATAAACCATCAATCGACAAGAAAAAATTTCTCCTCAATCAACCGTCAATATTTCAACCACTTCTTAATAGTCTTACACGCTGGCAGGCAGGGCTTATTGCCATTTATTTTCACTTTATTCAAGTCATTCTTAATACCGCAGAAATACAAAGAAGCCCGGGCGGTGGGTCGCAAGCCAGAAATCCCTTATTTGTTTTCATAGCAGTCCCGGCACAGTACGGGGCAACTTGTTTGTGTTTTGTTTTGGGGTCCGCTTGACTCAAGCGTTAAAATTCACTAAGGTCACGGAAAAAATCTGATCACAATGTAGTGAAATTCAGCTTCGAACTCAACTTTAGACATTCACGATATATTTCTTATCTATTCACGATTCACAGCCAAGAACTTTTGCATTTCACACCTCACGGAATGCACTTCAATCACGATTCACAGAACAGTTTTTTTTTTTTTCAAATCACGATTCACAGAGCACAAAAAAACCGGATCACGGCGTCACGAAAATACCCTTGCCCCACCCCCCTAACAGAAGGTAAGACATTTTAGAAAGTGTTTCGACTTTGTGTATTGAATTGAACTGTGAAAATTGCAGAGAGTTCGCGGATCATCCGTTCCGTGTTACGCATCGAGCCAACGAGTTCACTGTTCACTCGGCCTGCCTAACGAGCCAACGANAGTGACTGACTAACCCAGTGGAGGATGGAGGCTAGCTAGAGTGTAAATGATACAGTCAACCGTGACACGGCTTAGAAATAAACCATCAATCGACAAGAAAAAATTTCTCCTCAATCAACCGTCAATATTTCAACTTCTTAATAGCCTTACACGCTGGCAGGCAGGGCTTATTGCCATTTATTTTCACTTATTCAAGTCATTTTTAATACCGCAGAAATACAAACAAGCCCGGGCGGCGAGTTGCAAACCAGAAATGCCTTATTTGTTTTCATAGCAGTCCCGGCACAGTACGGGCAAGTTGTCTGTGACAGTCTGTTAATTGGGATTGTTCTTCGGCTGCAACAATGAAAACGACTTTAATTTATGGTGCATACCTTTGTTATTTATTCAAGGAGGTCAAATCAATTTTCCTAGCAATAGAGCTGGCCTTTTATTCTTTTCAGAGGCTTGATGACTGATTCCCCAAAAGTTTAGGACTTCGGGCCAAAAATTCGGAGAGTAGAAAATTCACAACTCTTTTCGGGAATCATAAAATCGTAATCAAAGAGTCTAACAATGCGTTTTACTTCCAAAGGCACTTCTATTGTTAGGTTATGGTTTTCTTTCAAAAAAAGATTTAGATGGAACGTTCGTAGTATAGCTATAGTGTTCTCCGTTTTCAACTATGGCACGTTTTCACGATCGAGGTTGCGTTGTACAAATTTTTAATCAGAAGACCCATGTACTCAGTTCGGTGCTACACAGCCAACGAAAACTGCGGAAAGGAATTCAATGACAGACGTTTCTGTCAGATTTCACCGATCGATTTAACCTATCTGTCAGACCCTGGACAGGACCCCGGTCGAACATATAAACTGTTATCAATATCCACAAAAAGCAACATGGCGTCTGTCGAACAGGTTCATTAAAGGATTTCAAAACTTCCTTCCGTCACTACTTGAAAGGAATTTACAACTGGGCGCTGATGCCTCCCTCATCTAAAGCAGTAATGAGATAGTAATGGCGGGGTCATTTATTCACGAGTTTCTCTCTCGAACAACAGAAACGTGTCAGCGTCTACTTTTACAAACTGGGCTGGCGATGGACATTGGGTTGTTGATTTCCTTCATTTCTCTTACTTGATCCGTGTACACTTCTTTCAGTTTAATCCGACTGCGATGTTGAAACACCTGAGCAGAATCGCCGTGGGTACGTTTGGATGGTATTTCTGGGTGAACCTGTTTGTTTTCATCGAGGAGCTAACCGGCCAATGCGAAGGAGAAGAAACGTTGTCTTCAAAGATGACTTGTAGCCTGCAGGGATTTCACTTAGATGGCTTAAATACATCTGGAAACGTTTTTCCTCTGACTAACAGTACTCCACTCATCTATTCATCAGTCAAGAAATCCAGGTTAAAAGATGGTGGTCAGCTGAGCAGAGAAACGCAAGAAGAACAGCTTGTTTTGGCAGGCAATGCAAGCTTTTGTCAGTCCACTGGTAGAGTTGCTTTTTATCTGTAAGAGCTTGCTGCTGGTCTTGGGAGTTCGTGCTGGTGTGTACCATTGTGCATTTTCACACTATTCATGAGACTATACTTGGAGTTTTAGCAGCCTTGTTTACCTGGTATATGTTACTTACAGAGTGTGGTACGAGAATGAACTTTCGCCTGGTTCACAATGAACCCCTTTTGAATAAATGCCTACTAGTAATAGTACTTAAAAATGTTTCAAGACTGACTGATTAAATCCGGTTTCTAACGTTAAAAGTATTTTTCTTAGCAGCCTGTTCCAGGCTCTCGGTCAGAGGAGACGATCGAGAAGGCGGGCGGACGACATCCCGCTCGTCGCACGCCCGCTTTTTCGATCGTCGCGGCCACTTACCGAGAGCCAGCTGGAACAGGCTATTGATTTGAGAGACTAATAACAGACCTGTTTGTTGGTGTTGCTCAACTTCTAAATGTAGTTATTTTATTTGTCCAGCCAATATATGTAAGGAGATTTTGCAAAGTTCTTTTATTTCTAACCAGTGTTGTAAGTTTGCAGTTTTCTTCCTGGGTTATCTTTGTTTTTTTTAGCCTGGCGGCGGAGCCGCTTCAAATGAGCATTGATGGTAAACTTACTGAGAAGGAGTGGTGAAAACGCGTGTTAGTCCGTTCACATGCTTGTTCAGTTTGTTAATTGCCGGTTTCTGCTTCTGACTCCGTTTTGAAACAGAGGAGAATTTAGGAAGCATGCCAATACTGATGGAAGCGGTTGAACATAGATAAGAATGATAAGGGGATGTTTTTCTAACAGTGAAAAGGCATAGCCGGGAGAACTTATAACTGACGAAATGTGGCAATAGCTAACTCCGGTGCAAGACGGAAGCTATAGGGAGCTTGAGAAAACCACGACGGCAACGGCAACGGCAATGTCGCTAAACAAAAGGTTAAATGATCAGAGCAATGGCTGTGCACGTGCGTTTTTTTGGTACATTTCTCTGCCGTCCTCTGCAAAACAACAACGTGAAATGACCATATTCTGCGTTGTCTGGAGGACGTGAACCACGACGGCTAATCTTTGAAATTTCATTTTCTCAATTGAACGCTACTGTCCTCAGCTCTAGATTCAGTTTCGAGATAGCTTTGACAAAGAGAAACAAGCTAAATGACTTAAGAGTATCGTGAGTCGAGGATCGGCGAGGCCGGTCACTCTCGTGGTTACTTCAAATTCCTGTTACGAATAAGGGTAGACCTGGTTTACCTTGACAGGCATTTTTTGCAACCACACACCATAGTAACGTCTTGCAAAGTATGCCAGTGAGAGCCATTGAAGCTTTGTCTTAAGAAAACTGCACCAGCATTCAGACTCTGAGTCACACTCTTGCATGCTTTGTGATGTAGAAATCCTGCTCATTGACTCCACGCCTGGCGACGATCTCGAGTGTGAACTTAATGTTCTCAAGGAAGAAGCATCATCCATAACCACAGCAGTTTTT